AGAGAGAGAAGTGGGGTCACAGTAAACACTCGTGACATCGGGTGCAAAGAGAAAAGGGAGAACGGGTGTAAAAAGGAAAGAGAGAAAGAGAAGAAAAGGACGAAAAAGAGAACCGGGTGGATTGTTGGTGTGGGAGTGAGGAGGGGGAGAGGTGGGAGAAGTGGGGGTTAGGAGACAGATATGATAAGGGATGAAAGCAAAATAGATAGGAAAGTTGAGAAGGAGAGCGAGGGTAGGGTGAGTGAAAACATCTCTCGTAAACAAAGTAGGCTTTGTTCTGCGCGTAGACACGTGAGTCGTGAGGATAAAAAAAACGGCAGTGTAAATTTTGCTACTTTACCGGGTGGAATTGATGAGTGAGCAACAATATTATTTTTCCTCCAAGTCCTATTTTGTTCCCACGTGCGTTGTGTGAGCCATGGCGAGATGGGAAGAGACGAAAAGAAGAAGAAGAGGAGGAGGAGGAGGAGGAGAAGGAGGACGAGTTTAGACGGCGGTGTTGTTGGTGGCGCTGGTGGTGGCCGTGTAAATGCATTAAGAATCAGATTCAAGGTTAGGGTTGGAGCGAGCGAGAGGGTATGATGGCTAAACCTTGTGTTGGACGGACCATGATTGATGGAGCCCGAGGTTAAAAGTATAAGTGGATTCTTTTATTACTACCACTACTACTACTACAACTACCACTGGAAGTAAAGGAAAAACGGGAGAAAAAAAACAAAAAAACAAAAAACAAAAAAATACTGCCCATAACCACTTCATAGTTTATGGTGAGCACGAGTGAAGTGAATCGCGGATGTTGCTTCATGCCGAGTTCTTGGATTCAAAATGTCATCTTCGGTGAGTAGCCCACTTTTTATTGATCGATAATGTAATAAATGTAATAATTTATGTTAAATAACATCTACGTTTTATTGTAACGATAATATGATTCTTGTAATTTAATTGCGTTCTTTCTCCATCGTGAGGTAGGAAGATTGCTTAAAAGAAGCTAATATGAATGTTCTATCCCTCCAATTTATTTATGTCATTCGACTTGCATTTTCACACTGCATGCAGAATGATTATCCTGAAGGCGCGTTTTTATCAAGCACAGCATCATTTTTGGGGGGCGCAGCTGCGTACGTTTTATCTTTCAAACGGTTACATTTTGATGTGTCTCAGTCATGTCAAATAATTGAAGGCTGGGAACTGAGCCTGTAGAAGATACTACTTCTTTATGACAGTTTGTTATGTCTGTCTGTCTTTCCGTCAGTCCGTCCGTCCATCCGTCTGTCTATCTGTCTGTCTGTCTGTCTGTATCTGTCTGTTTGTCTGTCTGTCTGTCTGTCTGTCTGTCTGTCAGTCCATCTGCCCGTCCATCT